TTTGGATCAATTTTCTCCTCCTTTTTTACACCAATTTAAATTTGGCATACAGTTAGACCATGCAACCCTTTAACTGTATAGACTAGCTATTGGAGATACTTATAACTGCTTCTTCACTCACGAGACGTGGACGAACACACGCGTTAAGAAACATAAAGCCCCATCTTAATAAGTTGCAAACGCAAAACGCAAGACGCAAACGCAAACGCGGACGTTTTTTCTTTCTTTTTTTTTATTTTTTGACGTTTCGTTTTTTTTTTTTCTCCGCGTTTGCATTTACGTTGTGCGTCTGCGACTTATGTAGATGGGGCTTAAGAGCGAGAGTTAAATGTAACTATTGTAAATTGTCACTGAAGATGGCTAAAAAAAATAGCCAAAATATTTGACTTTAGAATAAAGTAAATTTTATATAAATTAAATTTTACGTATCAATTCCCGTTCTACCTTAGTTACTAATATTAATATTAATATTAATTAATATTAATTTGCTGCAATTTTTGTTCAAACAAGATTTTTGTTCTGCTACCAATCTGCTAGCAGATTGCTGACGATTTATTACTCATTATAGTATATGATGCGTGAGAAAAATTTTACTTTATTTTATTACTAACTTATTACTAACGTATATATTTTTAAGAGAACTACTAAATCTCAAAAGGAATTTATTGTAAAAATTAAGATATTTTATTGCCAAAATTCTATATTATATTGTAAGATGATTCTAAATTAAATCATTCCTTTCAATTTAAATTTATTTAAATCATTAACTTTTTAAGGGAGGCACACTTTTTTAAAGCTACGTTTTACAGACAGCACACATGTCCAAAATCGAAAAGTTTTAAAGAAGTTTAATTCTAATTTAAAATTGGAATTGTCTGTCCACGCATTTATAATCGCATTTAATAATTAATGGCTTTAGGATATATATATTTACATATTATATATTACATATAATGAATATATTTTAAAAACCCAGTAAACACAAATGATCAGTAAACATAACATCAATGTTAAAATGTCATACTCAATAATGTAACTGTTACATAACATATGGCGTTACATTAAGTTGATATTATTGAGTCTTATATATTGACATCAATGTTACGTTACTGTTACTTGGTGTAGTTTGCAGAAAACGAATAATTCTTTTTCAAATTCTAATTAGATTAAATTAAATTAAAAAATTTATAGAGCAGAGATGCAGATTTTCCTGTTCATGTAGCTATCTTTGCAATAAATTAATGTACATTTTGTTAATAAATTATTAATAAACGATAAAATCTTAAATAGTTAAAATCTTTTAAAAGCTAGGTTATTATAATTATGATTCCAACAATGTATGTAAAAGTCAAAGTAAATGCGAAGTCAAATCCATTTTTTATAATTTTATTCCAAAATTATATTCAATATTAAAAAATTACGAAAAATAATATTTTTTTTTCTTAAATTTTGTATAATGCATAAACATATAATAAATGTATTAACTATATCTTCTAGGACGCTATTGCGCATAAATCGTTTTTCCCTGGCTTTCCTAAACGTATTATTAAAGGCGATGCGGACAAAGCATTTGCGGAAGCTGATCATATTTTAGAAGGAGAAATACGTATAGGCGGCCAAGAGCACTTTTATTTAGAAACAATCGCTGCTATTGCCGTGCCTCGTGAAGAAGATGAATTGGAAGTATTTTGTTCCACACAACATCCCACTGAAATACAGAAACTAATCGCTCATGTCTTAAATATACACATAAACAGAGTTAATGTTCGTGTAAAGCGTATAGGAGGTGGATTTGGTGGGAAAGAATCTCGTTCGACGTTACTCACGATACCAGTAGCACTTGCAGCACACAGGTGTGTATACAATTCATATTGATTCAAATACATATGCATTAATATACAGAATAAGTCAACGAAAAATTAGTTTATAAGAAGAATGCAGAAACAAACAAAATTTATATTCAAGCATATAATTATGATAAATTCAATCGGCCATGCTTCATGAGATGGCTACTTCTTCACAAATAAAACATAATAGAAGTGACTCAAAGATTTTTTAATTTTCTTACTAATTGTGTTGATTATGAATGATTTAAGTAAATATTTTTTAAGAAATTATATTTAGTAGTATTTAGAACTGAAAATGTGTGTGGCGCACGTATATATACGCACAATTACGCAATTCCTGAACTCTTTGTTGCACAAATCTTTTTTGAACATATTTTATTAAATTTTAATCTATAGCTAATTGCAAATCTAAGTGGAAATTTAAACAATTAAAATAGCAGATTTAATAAAGCAGTCAAATTTTAATAATATCGGACTATAACTTATAATAATGAAAATTTTATACAAAAGAATTTTTTCAGATTTCTAATTTCAAATCTGCAACCAAAATTTGAAAATTTAAAATTGCGGATTCAATATCAGAGAAATCTTTTTAATAAAAAATTTTGCTCTTAGCATAACCCAAAATTCTCTTCGTCGACAATGTAGATTTATTTTAAGACAGATTTTTTTGTTGTGAATTTTAAGAGGATGCTGAAAGATCGGAAAAATTTGCACGTGATCGATACAATAGATTCTTTAATGTCAATGGTATCTTTAAATGAACTTCTTATCTCACAATATCTCCTGTCTTACTCAAACATGTGCATTGTCCTTATTTAACTTATCGAAACGCCATCTCTTGCAAAATCCGGGACTTACTGCTGGACGCAATTTTTACTGTCTTTACCACTCTGTATTTTAGCTAAACGTACGAATTACTAAATGACAGTTTAGTAGATATCTCTTTTCCTACACTTTCAATCGTAGCTCAAAAAGCTTTGTATTATTTGTTCATGTAATCTGTGCAGTGGTGTGAAACGTAAGTATTTTGTACATATGAGCTACAGAACTTCTACACTAATGAAATGTTTACGTCAAGTTACAGCTGTACAATCCGAAAAAAATATAATTTTTTAATTTTTTTTTGTTTTGACTACAAATTTCTTTGTTCCCCCAATACATTTTATGTCTATTTCAATCCTGTAAAAGGATTTTCAATTCCGTTCTGTCATTTCGGAGAAATCTTTACGACTGCAATGTGTCGGTAATTCCGACCTTTTAGCATTGCCTTAAGAGGATCCTAAACCCTAGATCAAACTCCAAAAATCCGCTGTTTTACCGACAATTTATGAGTATGTATGCGTGCGATATTGATGTAGTAGTGTGTAATGATGTGTCATGTTTATTACCACAT